AATGTGTATGAGACAACTCCCAGATTAATGTTATTTAGCTTTATTTCTTTTTTTAGCTTTAGTTTTGTTTCAGTTTATTTCCTTTTATATTATGATCCAAGGAAGAGTACTAGCTAGCTCACAAGAAATGTTCTTCATGCTTTGTACTTTTCTCTTATTTAATTAATGAACTTGTTTACTTATGTTGTTTCTGTCAGTTTTGATTTGCTACCTTATCAGTGCTATTATGAAAAAGAAAAGAAAAAGTCACCAGAAAAGAATGAACAAAAGTGATCATCATGGAAGTTTCCTTGTAGATTGAAATTTGATTAAAAAAAAGGGAATCCTACTACTTATACTCAATCTCCAGATATCTCCTCTAGTAATGTTTGAGTCAAACACTCCACTAATGACTTTTCCTTATTAAAAGAGTATTTATAAATTAGTTATTTTCTAGAATTTGTGTTGTTTCTAAGTTGAGTCTATTGGTCCGATAAATAGACACTGAGAAAGTTGTTTGTGAAAACTCTGACCCTTTTTAAGCCACCATTTTTATATTATTATATCCCTTGCAAACAAACTTGAGCCTTAACCATTCTTTCGATGACATAGCCTTTATTATATAGCCAATTGACTTGAAAGATTAATTCTTTTCACCCTTTTTGGAGTTAGATAGAAAAAATGTATTTACTTGTCTAAATCAAAATAATAAGTTTGAGGTTGCTCTTGGAAGTTAGAAACGAATAAGTTTGGGGTTGGGGTACTAGAGAAATTGGTCAAAAGAAAAGAAAAAATACAAGAAGTTAAAAATAGCTTCTTTAAAAAAATTGTGAAAAATAAAGAAGATTATGACCAACAATATGCATTATCTAGTAGTACCAAGTGAATAAGAAAAGAGAGATATGATAGGAATCATTTAATATAAGGAAAACTAGGTACTTAACTCCAAAGGTTTAAGCCTACAATCCTAAATTATCCTACCTTGACGTAAGCCACGTTACAACCTTAAAAATACCTCAAAAGTGTGTATTTAATATGACTTTGATTGATTCGGTTAGAAACCTTACAAACTCATTATTACATGCTTTTGGATGTTAATTGTTTGATTACCTTGTCCAATTTAGTGAATATTTGTGAGATAAGAGACAAATTGAGTGCTTGTTTGTTCGAAATAAATTTTCCAATTTGATTGAATTGAAGCAGGGAGTAAAAGTGTTAATCATAAAAAATAAAAGGTGGCGTTCATCAGTAAGGGTAAGCATGTTAATTTTGATGAAATGTTCAGTGTGTAGAAAGGTTACTTCAAGATAAACAATAAAGTAAGTTTTGAGTTGTGATGATAGTCGTCATTATGTAATTTGTACTAATAAATCAGATGAAATCATTGAAATAATGTACAAAAGTCATGCCAAAGTGTGATGAATGGAGAAAAAATACTAAGAGTGGAAAAAATAAGACCTAGAAAAAATTTGGAAAAAAAAAGAGAAGAAAAATCAGCTTTTAGCCCCTAGAATTCACGCACGAAGCTGACATCATGGGGACAATTATGTCACATCGTGGTGCGATGCATACCATCATGGGGTTGATGTTGCGCCACTCTGACATGCACGGTATGCTATGAATAGGGATTTTTGACTACTTTTCGCCGAGTTCCAAATTTGATAGAGAAATGGACGGCCTGGAGATCCAAAGTGACAATTTTGAGGGTTTTTGAAATCAATTTAAGATCTTTATCTTCCTTGATTTTCATGTTCTCTCCATCTAAACTCATGGTAACTGTTATATGCACTATGACTATCTAGATACCATAAATTATGTCTTTTGGACAAACCTGCTTGTACTTGTTAGATCATATGGTTATTTGATGTTAATTGAATCATTTTATATTATTGTTATTATTTCATTGTCCTTGTATTCACTGTTTTTTTTATATTGACGAATACATGAACATATATCAGATGAGTAAGGATTATTGACCATAAGTCTACAGATCTGATCTAGCGTAATTATTTAACTTAGTAATTAATTAGGAATAGGAAATTATAAGTTGTGGCTGATGAATTAATGAACTTAGAACAACTAATTTAACTCTGAATTAGTCTAAGAAATTAGAGAATTATTGTGTAGATTAGTGAGTTGTACACCAAGGAATTGGATGGAGTGGGTGTGTTAATTTCTTCATGATACTTTAACATATTATAAATTTAATTAATGCATAGCTCATCAACAAGTATGAGTCGGAGAGTCGAAATAAGATCTAATCACCTATAGTAATTGAATTCAACTACGTTAATTTTATCACTTTATTCTCGAACCGAATAAACTTTAACTCGCACATAGTTACCCTATTAAAATACACAATCCATATAGAGCCTAATTTTATCTATTACTTCGACGAGAGTAATACACTTACTAGAATTATCATCACTTTACTTTGAATTTAATTTTATATTTGAATCTCCTTTTCAATTGCGCATATTTAAGGATCGAGTTATGGATCCATATTTTAGCATGTATAACTCAAACAGTTTATGTTTGAGTATGAGCATTATGCTTTAAGTCAATTAGTATAGTTTTTCAAATAAGAACCATAATTGAGATTGGTCCAAGTCATGTCTAAAGTAAACTCAAAAATACCTTCAAAATTTGAGCAACTCGCCATACCCTTCAGACAATCACATCCCTTTGGACGCCCGGTCCCATTTTGGGCGACTAATCCATTTCGAGCATCTAAACCCTTTCATCTCCCTAGTTGCGCTTGATTATGCTATAGACTTTTTTGTCATGGGACATCTGTTATTCAAATTCAAATAAATTATCTAACTCTAATAATCATCTTCATTTAATAAAAAATACTCCACTAATCCTCAAATAATTCCTCTCTTAATTTGATCAAACTCATCTTATAAACTACAATAGTTTAAAACTTAACTTATTGAATTTCCTTCTTCTTTCTTATGTCTTGCATATCAAATTGTTCTAACAATTTACTTTATTTATTTTTATTTTAATTGAATTGATTTTGTGAAATAATTATAATTGGCTCACTACAAAACATAGAGGATCTCTCTAAAAAGTCTTAAAAGTGGGTCACTTTTTCATCCACTTTTGTTGTCACTTATTAAACATGGTCAATGCACACCAATATTTCACAACATTTAAAATTAATGTAGATGAGGTTTAGTTTGGATTGCTTTACTTTTTTAGTGACTTATCTTATTTTCTTCTCACAGAATAGCATTATTTCATCTGGTAAGAAAGTGTGACCAAACTATTTAACTTGTTCAAGGAGTCAAAGGTTATTTATTATATTCCATTGTAATACACATATTAGGTTAGAAATTCTAACGTTATTTACCGATTCCTGTTATTTATGTCGATAAGGGAATTTTTTTTCTTCATAAATCAACTAGGTAAATACTCATGTTATATATCCTACGAATTTATGATAAATATTATTGATATTATGTTAGAGGTTTGTAAAATATGAAATAGATACTATATTTGAATAAATAAATAAATATAGTATAAAGTTTATTGAATTAAACAATATAAATACTATTAAACACGTTTTTCATTAGAGAATTGGATTGAATGCAGTTTTGTCTCCAATTTCTCAATTGTGTAATTTTAAGTTTCCAAGTTTTAATAGTATGATTTTGGTCTTTAAAATTTTTCAATTGTTTTTTTTCATATTTAAGCATAAAGTTTTAATGTCTAAATTTTTTTTTATAAAAAATATTATAGACTTATTCCTATATTTTAAAATGATTTTATTAAAAGCTTCGCACATATTATTAGTCAAATATTTCTTATTTTAATTACTTAATGCTCTATTTTTTTATTAAAAAAAAAAGATAAAGTGTAAAAAAAAAAGTTTAATTTACATATCAATAAAAGACACTGAATTGCAAAAGAAAATAAATTTGAAAGATCAAAATCAAATCATTGAAAATTTTAAACATTTAAAATTTAAAGAACCGGAATTAAACAATTGAAAAACTTAAGAGAATCAAAACCAAACCATTAAAACTTTCAGAGACAAAATCAAACTATTAAGAAATTTGAGGATCAAACTGCATTTAGCTAAAATAATTATGCATTTTTAATATAATGAAACAAAAACGATTATGATTATTTTAATTTTCTAAAATCGTGCACTAAACTGTTAGAATTAATATTTATAAATTTAAAGCTAATTTGATTTTATGTTCAAATATTAGTATTATTTTTTTATGTATTGGTGACAAATATTTGTCTCCAATTTTTATATTTATTAATAACAAAAAGTCATCTAGTACCTTTTTATACTAATAACAAATACATCTTTATTTAAAATTAAGATATAAAAAAATTTAAATTTAATTAATTGATAAATAATAAATATTTTTCAAAATTTTCCTTTCTTTTAGGTCGTATATAAACAAAAATACATTTTTCCTTAGTAATTTTTCAATGATATACTTTTATTTTGTGTATGAAATATATAGGCAATATAAAAGTATAAAATTAATCCCATTTATTATAATTTTTATTTTTATATAAATATGAAAAATGAAATTAATTTTATATTAATAAACAATTATTCCAAGTTATAGATTTTAACAAAATCTCTGTAATATAATTAAAGAAAATATTTAATAATAATGTAAATACAAAATAAAAAGAAGTAGATAAATAACAATTTATCAAACTTATAATAAATGAAAATGTGTGAGAGTTATTTTTAATTAAAATAAAAAGAAAATTTATCCAAAAAATAATAAAAGAAAATTTTGGGACAGGTATTAAAAGTAAGGTTATCCGATTTTGAATGCTATTAATTAGTAAGGTTATCCTGAAATTTGATTTGACAATATAGTTAGTAGCATTTAGTATTTTCATTTTATTGTTGTATGTATGTAATGATTAATGATGATGAACCAAACAGGGTCTAAGCTGGACTATAAAAGCTCAAGATGAAGCACTTATGTTGTCACTAGTCTAATTTATTTGGTCCAAAAATACAGTTTCTCACTGAAATGGCCTCTATCCGTTTCTTTTTCTTAGTTATTTTAATCGCTTTGTCACTTTCAAGCATTGACAAGGTGCAAAGTGTTGGGAATAGAAAACTTTTGACACTATCATTTCTTAATGCAGGTAAAATTCCAGGCTTAAAGTTTTCTACTTTCCCACCTGGAACTGAATGGCCAGAGTACAGGTTGCCTCCACCGCTATTCACTTTTCCACCAGTTACCACCGCAGCTACTACCAAACCATGATGGTGTTCTATATAAGTGCTTTAAGGTGGTGGCGTTCTTCAATATTTATATATATTTACTAAGCATTCGAATAAAACTTTCATGGCTATATACGCACACAAGCTCTTGCTAGCCATGTTTACTTTCTGTACGTTGTTTCTATGATGAGATATTTATAGTAGAATTTGAGTTTTTATGCGTATATCTCTACATGGGTTAGGTGTACAATGTTTGGTTTGTGGATGGGAAATTAATCTATTTGTTATGGTTAATTATTAATAGTTGATATATGTACCAAGATTGTGTATTGAATCAAGAAAAGTTTAAGTAAAAGGGTATGATTGTATTATGTATGCTGTTATGTTTTTGGATGAAATTCTTCTTTCAAAAGTTTTTGAAAAAAGAATTTAAAAATATTATTCTGTTGTGAAAACAAATACTAATGATTTTGAAGACACTAACGTTTGAGACAAAAAAAAATAAAATGACAATCAATCCAATGACTTCAAACAATAAAAACTAATTTGGGTAGCATCAATAAATATATGGCAATAAATATAGCAAAGGAAAGAAAAGTGAATGAAGAACACTAAATCTTTTAAGTAAAAAATTCCTCAAAACAAAGGTAAAAATCATGTTTCTCCTGGATGAAAGAATTAACTCTACTATAATTAAATAATCAAACGAGGTTATAAGAGAGTATCAAAATAATACATAAATATTGTCAAAAACTAGATAAATATACAAAGTACAAAATCTTACAATTTAAGAATGAGAAGACAAAAAACCCCAAAAATATGGTGCAATACGAATACAATATCTCTCAGCTTAGAACTTATCTCGAGAGTGAAAGTGTAGCTCTATGTCTTGCAAACTTTGTGTCCAAATGTTAGCACGATCTAACGGTTAACCAAACTAAAATCTCTATTCTTCTAAAACTGGTTTGATAAAAAAAAGAATAGGGTTTCTCTAATCTTTTCTCTCGAATGCCTGATTTTCTCCTTTATTTATGTTAGACGATAGGCTACGATTTAGAAGGGGGGTTCAATAGATTGCAAATAAAAAATTTCAACTAAAATTATGTTTTAAAAATGTTTAAGTTATGGCGCGGGGAAATAAATTTGGACCGACGATCATATATCCGAACCGTTATCAAAAAGACCGGATATGCGTTAAACCGATATAACGAGTTTACGTATGATGAGAAAAACAATCAATATATTTCCAGCAAACCAACTTTAAATAAACCACACCGTATCAATCAATTTCCAATAAAATAATCGACAAAAATTAACTAAGGCAATTTGTCGAACACTTGAGTGCAATCGATACAAACCAGATTTTTGTTTGATTTTGTTCATGTTAGAAACCAATTACAATAAAAAAGATTGTGTCAAATCAACAAAACAGTTTATGGTATTAACCTAAGTGATTATCTCGATGTATCAATCGTACAACAGATTTTTCATAATTTGCAATAAAATATAAGATAGAGAGGAAGAGAGAAAGAGAGCGACACAAGAATTTGTTTAGAAAGTTTCCCAATCGGCCTTGCTATGGGTACGCCTGCCTCTAATTGTATTCAGAATTGAGATAATGAAAATGAACCTATGTCAAATATTGATACAAGAGAACAAGTAGTAATCTAACATGCAAAACCATAAGTATGTTGTTGATTATATCTTCTTTTCTCCCTTTGATTTTGAGCTCGATCAAGTGAGCCTGATACTTCTAATTTGAGCCTCCGTCTCACGCTACTCCTTTGCAAGAACCCCCGTTCTTCAAAGACTTCACTCGACTGAATCCAAATTGCGAACATATCGTGACCCAAGATTTTCCAATTTGATCCTCCGTCTCGCGTTACTCCTTAGACCGAACCCACCGTTCTTCGAAACTTTCACTCGACTGAATCCAAATTACGTAATCTCGTCTAACACCTTCAAATCACCAATTGATCTTGAAGTAAAGTTCCATATTGGTTTTCTTATTTGAAACCCCCAAAGCGTTCTCAACCCAATCGATTACAATGAACATTAATTGGACGTTATCAAGATATCTCTAGATGACACCCATACAAAGAATGATTTTATGTGTAATTTGTTTGTGTGTATGCATAGAGAGAAGATGAAGATGATGAGCAATTGCTTTGTATGTTTTTGGTTTCGTATTATAAAATGATGCATGAATATATATATATATATATATATATATATATATATATATATATATATATATATATATATATATATATATATATATATATATATATATATATATATATATATATATATATATATATATATATATATATATATATATTATGTGCGTGAGTGCACATGAGAAAATATAAAAATTTGGGCTGTAAAATTATAAAATATCAAACATGTATCAGAGGGAGCCGACCCATATGAAGAGGGAGTTGACTCCCATGGAAAGGGAGTCGACCCATACAGCCTCGGGAGTTGACTCCTTTTGGAGAGAAACAAAATGTGAAAAGTCAACTTCAGTAGGAGTCGATCTATACACGTGGGAGCCAACTCCTTCGTTTAATGAGTCGACCCCAAGTGCGAGGGAGTCGGCTCCTTCGAGCCAGAGAAAAGATTTTTGAAATTACTTTTAGTAGGAGTCGGCTCCCAGAATCAGGGAGTTGGCTCATTTGAACCCGAGACTTCCTTTTCACATTTATTTGAGAAGGAGTCGACTCCTAATACGAATGAGTCGACTCTAAACATGATTTTCCATAAAAATGCATATTTTTGAAGTTCTTAATATGTCCAAAAGCTTTTAACTCGATCCCTAAGTGTCTTATTTTGAGAATGCAACCTAGACATAGAGAGATACCATCCAATATATAGATACTACATATTTCCTAGTTTTAACATCATTCAAAACATCTAATAGATGATATAGCACTCACATACTTCCCCTTTTTTATGATGGCACAACATGGAACATATTTCTAGTTTCTGATTATATCTCCCCGTGAATATGTGCATCTTTTCTTTTAACATTTGTAACCAAATTATGTTCTTGCATTGTATTGTGTAGCTTCTCCCCCTTTGACAACATCAAAAAGTTACAAAAGCCATAAAAATGCAAGAAGCATCACATAACAAAAACACACAATGACATATAAATCACTCAGAGGCGTTGCATAGACGATTTTGATCAACAAAAACAACACTCACATAGAATGAAGTTAAAGTGAGAATACCTAAACATAAATAACCAATCAAAGCATGAAAATTCAATAGAGATGAATAACATATCAAACCATGCTATCATAAGATATTTCAAGTTAAGAGATTATGTCATGAAGTACAAATGATCATTAAATGCAAAAGATTAAAATATGAAGTCATTATAAGCATATGGATTAAAAACAAACAAGGTTAACAACAAAACTTTTGGAAGTTAACATTCATGGGATTACATTACACATAAAATATACCACATAGACAAAAAAACTGAAGATTGGATTTGATTGAAGAGTCCAAGCCCATAATGTAAGAGTCAATAAATAAGGACTTGCTAAACCTAAAATAGCAAGCATTCACAACAACAAAACCGTGGGTGCAACATAAGGGTTTAGGATTTTGGGAGTCTTTTAAGTTCTTTGTATTTTTGTTGTTTGTACGTTACTCATGTATCTTCTGGTACATTGAGGTTGACTGATTGTTCTTAGTTGAAGCTTTTAAGCAAAACTAAGTATTGTTCTCACTCATGAGCTTTTAAACAAATAGTTGAGTATTATTTATTGGAAGTGTAATCTTCTAGTTGTGATTCTAGTAAATGGTTTGTGATAGTATTTCATCACTGAGGTGATTGGTAGGAAGTTAGAGGGGGATCTCAAATCTAGAGATGTCTAGGTAGAAGTTGCACAAGGTAAAGATTAGGTGGTAAGTTGTAAAATAGGGTTAATTTAGCTTTGAACTAATACTATTATAGTGAATTTCCTTCCTGACTTGGTAGCCCCTATAGTAGGTGACATTGCACCAAACTGGGTTAAATATTGATTGTGTTGTTTATTTTTATGCAATTTATTTTATGCATAATCTCCAGTTTTAGAAAGTATTTTTTGTCAGGAGATGATGTCATAACATTTGTCTTGACATTGTGTTGGTGTTAGGACATAAGTCTTGACATATGTAGTGCATGTGCCAGAATTTCAATTGGTATTAAAGCAGACACCTTGTTCTGTTTATTGGGTGAGCTCCAGGGGGAATAATTTTGGGTACTATGGATAAGGAAGAAGGATACAACAATAGACCACCTTTGTTAGATGGTTCAAATTATGATTGGTGGAAGGTTAGAATGATGGCTTTTATGAAATCCATGAACAACAAAGCTTTGAAGGTTGTTTTGAAAGAATGGGATCATCCAGTTATGAAGGACAAAGATGGGGTTGAATCCTTGAATCCATAGGAATATTGGTCTGAAGATGATGATAAACTTGCTATTGGAAATTCCAAGGCTTTGAATGCTTTATTCAATGGAGTGGACAAGAACATTTTCAAGTTAATAAATTCATGTACTATAGCTAAAGATGCTTGAGAAATCCTCAAGACAACTCATGAAGGTACACCCAAAGTGAAGTGTCCAGACTCCATCTTCTCACTACCAGATTTAAAAACCTAAAGATGAATGATGAGTAAAGCATACAATATTTTCACATGAATTTTCATGAAATAGCAAATGCATCTAGTGCCTTCGGAGAGAAGATGTCAGAAGAAAAAATTGACAGAAAGATTCTCAGGTCTCTTCCTAAGAAATTTAATATGAAGATGACATCTATTGAAGAAGCTAATAACATCAGCAACACGAGGGTTGAAGAACTTGTTGGCTCACTTCAATCTTTTGAATTATGTATTAGTGACAAGTCTGAGAAAAAGAACAAGAGCATAACTTTTGTATCAAATGCTGAAGATGAAGAAGGTCAATGTGACCTGGATACTGATGAAGGGATATCAAATGCCATTGTTCTTCTTGGGAGGAAATTCAATCAAGTGCTGAACAATATT